GCTGCCGGCGGAACGGCGGGAGTTTGTCGCACAACGCCACCTTCTCGAACGCCTCGGACTCCATGTCGATGAAAATGCGATTGTCTGCGTCGCGAATGAGCCGCCCGTCCCACCGGCCCGAAAACAGGGCCGCCAGCACAGTGCCCTCGATGCTCGTCAGGTGCTTTCGGCGGACACACGACTGACTCCCGCCGACATTCAGTTCGAGCATATCGTCGCCAGAGGCCGCCGAGCCGTCAGATGCGCCATACTGGGCCATCGCTTTGGTGATGTCATAGTCCTTGCGCAGGGCGTCGAGCCCCTCCAGCAGCGTGACGACGTGGCGGTCGAGCTGCGACGTCGCATTGACGCGAGTGAACGGCTTCATGGCCACAGGGTGACCAATACTGACACAGAGAGAGAGAGAGGAAAAGAGAAACGATAGATCTATCACGTAGAGGCCCTGCACCGTCTGGATGCCCTTTGTGAGCCTCCATCTTACCTCTCCCCTCTTATCCTCTACGGGCTCAAAGCGGAAAGGGGTGAGGCGAAGAGCGTAGTTGTTGTTGAGGTAAGTGAACTCAAACAGCTGCAGCACAATCTCCTCACACACCCGGCATGTGCATCCTACCTTCTGTCTGTTGGTCTCTGTGCCCTTCATTTCTCAGTCATGGAGCCGCTCACTCGAGTGAATGCCACATCGCAGCTGGACCTCCAGGTCGTCACGCTGCTCGAGTCCCTTGATGAGCGGCGCAAGGACAACACCTACGACATCAGCAAAGCCCTGACGCAGCATGGCGCATCTGACGGCTCGGCGGCCTCTGGTGACGATATGCTCGAACTGAATGTCGGCGGGAGTCAGTCGTGTGTTCGCCGAAAGCACCTGACGAGCATCGAGGGCACTGTGCTGGCGGCCCTGTTCTCGGGCCGGTGGGACGGGCGGCTCATTCGCGGCGCTGACAATCGCATGTTCATCGACATGGAGTCCGAGGCGTTCGAGAAGGTCCGCAACACGCTGTTTGAGGGCGGCAAGGCGGCCGTTGACCTGCTCATCACAGAGATAGCCAACCGCAACTACAGAGGTACTCACGGCAACGAGATGAGTGCAATGTGTGTGTGTGGACGGCCTGTGCCTCTGCCCCTTTGTGTGTGTGCAGGTCTTCATGACTTCTGGGTGCGTCGGCTGCTGTCGCCCATCGAGAAGCCCTCCCGCAAGCGCATCCGCACCGACGAGGCGCCCTCGGTGTCGGCCGGCGGCGTGGATGAGCTGCGGGGGTTCTGCAAGACCGTCGAGTCGTTCCTCAAGGGCTACTTGGCGGAGAAGGGCAAAGTGGACGAGGAGGTGCAGCAGCAGAAGCACCAGTACGACGGCCTCATCAAGGAAGTCATGGTAGGCAGAGAGGGGGAGGGATCAGGGCGAAAGATCTTCGTCAGTGTGTGTCTGTGTTTCTGTGTGCTCTTTAGGCTGTGAGTGCCTTCCTGAAGCCCGTCAGTGGTGACGATCCCAT